TGAAAAAAAGTTTTCCGTTGACAAACATGTTATCCGTTGGGAGTCCTTTGGTGTAATGACCAAATATAACGGACACGTAACGAATGCCTAACTGTAACACACAGGAGGAGTACCAAATAAAACAGACATTTAACAGAAGCGTACCGGATAAACTGGATGAACAAGATCATCGAAAAATTAAAGGCGGCAATAATAAGACATGTAAATCACATACACGTGACCTTAAAATAGTTAAAAAGTTTCCGTTTATATTTGCAACATTTAAGTTCAGTCTGGCCTGAATACGAGCTGCTTGATAGTGAAGATGTGCTCTTACACCATGATCCATTATGAACAATAAATATCATGACACTCAAGAAATCTGACATAACAAACATTGGCATTTCTGACGCAAAATTTTCAATTGGCATTCATCAGTTTTACATTCGGTGCGTATCCGGTTTTTTTCGTTATCTTTCCGTTCATGTCCGTTTCACATTTGTTCATCATCCGTTTTATCTGTTATACGTCCGTTAGAAATCCGTCGGCAAATTGGTCTACCGGACCTCTAACGGTTGTAGCGTGTAACGGATACAAAACGGAAACGGCCGAGTACCGTAAAAAAACGTTCAACGGACACTCCATCCGTTGAAACCCCGTTCAAATTTTGAACATGCTTAATATGTTCCATCGGACAGAACGGACATCGACGGATAAAACAGACGCTGAACAGACATGTGACCGGGGCTTAAATAAACAATTTGTTCGTGTCCGTTCATATCCGTTAGACCCCGTTCCTCGTTCGGTGTGCCCATTACTTGTCCGCTGACCCCAGTGGAGTCAGTTCCGTCAGGTGGAAACTTTTGAACATGTTCAAAACTTTGAACTGTCGTATAACAAATAGATTCGGTAGATGTCCATTTTGTGCGGTACTCGTCCGTTTCTCCTCTGTTATTTGTCCGTTGATGTCCATTAGACTGAATTTACGAACGGACTACTACCAGACTAATTATGAAAAAAACGAAAAAGTTAACGGACGAATAACGGATGAAACGGATGCGTACCGTTTGTAAAACGGATTAGAGTCACAATGAAATATAAATATACCCGATTTTTAGCTTTGCATGCATTTGATAAATTTTATGATGGATTTTGGAATATGATGAATGAAGTCGTTGTACCAGCTTCAATATATCACTAACATTCGGTTGCATTTTGGGAGAATGAATTAAATTTGTTAACACAGGTACTTCAAAATTATTTTTAAGGTAACATGTGTATTATCAATATTTTATTTTTTGTTGTTTTGCGATATGCAAACTTCTTTTCATCCGTTCTATCCGGTGCTAGTCCGTTACATGTCCTTTCTATCCGGTACTAGTCCGTTACATGTCCGTTCTCTCCGGTTATAGTCCGTTAAACGTTCATTCTATCCGGTACATGTTTGTTTTATTCGGTACATGTCCTTTCTATCTTGTTCTAGTCCGTTTCATGTCCGTTCTATCCGGTACTAGTCCGTTCTATTCGGTACTCGTTCGTTGCATGTTCGTTTGACATCAGTTATATCTGTTACCCGTAAATTTCATATCCTGTACATTTCGGTATTCATATTTTAGTCTCACCGGAGCGAAGTTTTGTAACCGGAAAACATGTTTTTTTCATCCGTGTGTCGTCTGTTCGTGCTATCCGGTAAGGTGTGACCATAGTATATATATAAACAACTGTGTTAAGTTTGAAGTCAAATGGGCAGGACATTCTAAAATTACGGCGCGACATATCATATTAAGCCTAATGTTAACAACGGACGGACATACATATGTACGTTTGAATGTCATAATACGTCCATTTTGAAGGGGTGTATATACTTAAAAAATACATGATTTCTTATAAAACTTATTGACAGGCAATTATAGTGTTTCTACAGATCACTTTTTTATTACGTAAAATACAAGTCAAAATTCGAGATACGTGATGTGGAAAATGAAGGTTACAATCGCATGTTTTGATGTATGCCAATCAACAAGTAAAAATTTCCCTCGCGTGCCTCCTACCACAGATGTTAAACCCATGGGTATAACGTCTATCCTCCTACACACCCCATGATTAACTTAAAGAAGAACAAATTGGAATAAGTTCATTAAAAAGTTTCTAACTCAATTTTATGTAATTCTATATTTTATTTTAACGCTACACGGATTTTCACTTTTTGTTCAAAATAAGATTCAATCTGGGGATAATTTACCGTTTGATTGACATGTTTTAGGTAGTAAATGATGACAGGGAATAGAAACAGAGTAGGGGTGTATTTTGGGAAGGTGGTGAGGAATGGCAGTTAGCACTAGAGACGTACAGGGGTCGATTCAAAACCAGAAAAAAACCCACAAAGATCAGATGAAAAGCAAACCCCCCTCTATAGCGTATGCCATGGACAAATAAATATAAACTCTTTATATAAGATGAAGTAGTTGATATAAAGACAGGAATTAAATTTTCATATCACAATAACAACACATTTCATTATTACAATTAATCGAATTTTATAACATTGAACAAAAATACTTCCGAATTCTGAATTCTGAATGCTGAATTCTGAATGCCGAATTCTGAATTATAGGTGAGCCTTCTCGGCTTTCGTAATTCTTCTATTCAATGTTCCTAATCTAAGTTTTTTGTAAAAGGTAAAAGAACAAAAATAACGAACTCCAAGAAAAATTCAAAACGGAAAGTCTTTAATCAAATGGCAAATTCAAAATCTCAAGCACATCAAATGAAATGAATACAACTGTTATATTCCAGACTTTGTACCGTCATTCCATTATGTAGAAAATGGTGTATTGAACCAACGTTTATAGCTAGCTAAACCTCTCACTTGTATGACAGTCGCATAAATTACATTATAATGAAAACAATGAGTGAACACAACAAACAAACTTTATATGTAAAAATGTTTAAAATATGTACAGCAGTATAAGTAACGAGCCACACCAAAGGTATGTTACAAATAAATGGGAAATGTGTCCATGGGACACAGATGAATGATACCCCGCTTGCATATCATATATATAAAGGGACATAACTGAAAAACGGTGAAAGTGACGCTACACAAATTTGTACTTGATCTGAGTTTTGTGTTAATAAGTATTGTTTGAATGGTTTTACACTAGTCATTTTGGGGCCGTTTATAGCTTAGTGTTCGATGTTAGCCAAGGTTCCATGTTGAAGAATGTACTTTGACCTATAATGGTATTTTTTTACAAATTTTGATCTTTTTGTAAAGAGACATAACTCGAGAGCGATTAAAATGACGCCACAAAAATTCAAACCTGATCTGTGTATTGTGGTAATAAGCATTTTGTACAAGTGTCATAACATTAGGTTGAGGTAAAGTAAAGTTAGAGAACGGAAACCAACTTTTGAACGTTTGGACGGACAAGGGTAACACTTAATACCCCCTCCTCTTCGACCGGGGCATAAAAATGAACCAAAAAGTAAAACTAATGACTTACAAAGACAAATAAAAAACACTTTAACACGTTATTAAGACGATAAACAACCTCAGTACATAGAAACATATACTGAAAGACCATCATGTATTATTTGTGAAGTTAATACAGAATAATTATCAATATATAATATTTGACACTAGTGACGTTTTATAAAGTCTGAGAAGCAGCTGTTAGCTCTTGATTACGGAATAAGTTGCGAAATGTATATCCCATATACAGGTGAGGTTGATGCATTGCTACTAAGGTGGGGGAATTTAATTATTTCAAAATAAAAAATCTTATTTTTGTCAAAGATTCTGGTACTGAGATGACCTTTATTGTTAAATTTGAGTTAGAAGTCTAAAAATGAGGCGGAGGAAGCCGTGTCTGCTAATTTCTCTTATTGTTAGTTCTGGAGGATATATTAATGGAAAAAAAAAACATCATCAATATATCTGAATGTGCAATTTAATGATCTGGTCTTTTTTATTTTCTTGTTCTTGACAAGTGTCTTAAGTCACTCTGAATCAAAATAAGAAGCGGTCGTAAGGATGAAAATTATCCTTGATTTTGTGAAACAAAAGCTAATCCCATTACTATTCGAGCAGCTTGAGGTTGTAGTTATCCAGTTGGTGTATTTTATCCAACCCGAATGTCACTGGCACTGTCATATTCAAATAAATGTCTTATAAAACTGTAGTTTTTCTTACACTTTTCAATTAAGTCTTGATTTCAGTTTCCTAAACATACTAATATGTTCAGCTCACACTTGTCAGTTAAGTCTTGATTTCAGTTTCCTAAGCATACTTATATGTTCAGATACACATAAAATATTGATATATATTATTACCAATATGGCATTGTATTTAGCATCATTGCTGAAATATAACCTATGTGTGCTCATTAATACTAGTTTTTCCATTAAATGTAAAATTCATTTCTGGGATGTCAACATTTTTAAGATAATAAAATTTCTCTTTATTTCAGGATGAAGACATTAACCACTTTTTAGACTATTCGTCCAGATCGTGATTTATCACAGATTATATCTGCTATACATCGTGATCCGCATAGCTGAACGATGTGTCATATGCAAAGAGTCTACACAGAGAATTAAGTGTTTTTGCAATGTCATTTATGTATATGTTTAAAACAAGTCCGGGGACAGACCCTTGAAGAACCTGATCAAAATCATGGCAAGGTTTTAAAGAAGACTGTTTTATAACCAGTTTTGTTTTCTACCATTCAATTGTTTTTAATAATTGAATACATAAGAAAGAGCTACTATTTAGATTCTTCCGTCCTGAAAGCTTGATTTCTCTTAAGAAGTTGTCATCATGGAGTTGTATAATGAAGTGATTTTACCTTCTTTTCTTTTATAGAAGAGTAGCTATGTATTTTTTTATGTTTCGAAATTCTCTCAAAGACACAAAATTATCATAGTTTTGTAATATTAAATTGATTTGTGTTCAGTATATTGTTTCAATTGAAATAAATCTATATATATAATGATGAATTTAACTTGTGTGCACTTACTGCTTTTTCGATACACACAACAACAAAAAGGCACTATCCCAAGAACAATCAATGCCAACACAATAACCAATATCCATAAATACATTCGACCTGCAAAAAGTCAAATTACATTATTTTGTTATGGTTGCAGTGATACGTAAATGTATATTATTATCATATAATCTTATATTTAATTCTACGTGGTCGTTTTTTTTTATTAGCTGCAATATATCTACAATTTGGTTTAGAAAAACAATCTTCTCAAACTGATAGATGTAAAAAGAGAATAAAACTACTCACAGAAGAATGTGCTTATTTAATATTTGTGATAAGACATGAACAAAATAAAATATCATTAACACCAATGTTGAAGAAAGTATAGACCACCCGAAACTATTGTCAGAATTGTTTCTTAGAACACGCGTACGGTTACGTGAAATATTTTAGTTTTAATGGAGATATATAGCTAAAATTCATTTTGCAGGTTCATGTATACTTGTTTTTAATGTCATGAGGAAGTGTAGACATAGGACACCGAATCATTTTCCACTGGAAGTTTAACAAACAATAGATCCATTAATTGAAAGGTATAATTAACTGTTTCAGAAATATATGAATAAATACAAAAAGATACTATTGTTAAACTATAAAGTAAAACGTATGCGGTTATTGATATATTACATAAAGATGCGAGCAAACAGTCCGTTTTACCAACCCGAATCCTGCTGAAGTAGCCCTGTACGCTATACCAAGTAGTCGCATTTATTGATAAAAAAAAAACTATTATTCGATTATTCTTGAAGATCTGGTGTATAAATAAATATTATACAAGAAAGTGTCCATAGTACACGGATACCCCACTCGCACTATCATTTCCTGTGTTCAGTGATCCATGAAATTGGGGCTAAAACTCTATTCCGACATTACAATTATAAAGATCATATCATAGGGAAAATGTGTACTAAGTTTCAAGTTGAATGGACTTCAACTTCATCAAAAACTACCTTGACCAAAAACTTTTACATGAAGCGAGACAGACGCACTTTATATGTTTAGTGGACCGTGAAATTGGGGTCAAAACTCTAATTTGATATTAAAATTAGAAAGATCACATTATAATGAACATGTGCATTAAGTTTAAGTTGATTGGGCATCAACTTCATTAAATACTACCTTGACCAAAATTTTTAACCTGAAGCGGGACAGACGGACGGCCGGACGGACGAACGAACGAACAAATGCACAGTCCGAACAACATAATGCCTCGTTGTGTTCTTTATACAAAATTAGCTGAATGTCAAATACAATCATATCTCGTTATCTATTACCTCCGGAATTTACAGAGATTCCAAAATCATGAGCCCTTGGTGTTGTGGTTGATAAGCTGTTGTTGATATCATCTGAAATACGAATATACAAGTTATCAGCAAACATATTTCAACAACACAATTACCAGACATAGTTCAATAAACAGCTAAGAAACTGATATTTAAACATGATTTTGTTAACATGTTATTTTTTACTTACTAGAAAAACTGATGATCGTTTGAAAAAAAGTTAAAACTCTTTGTTTGGTAAATAAAAGATAATTTATGAGTATGATATTCGATGCATATATTATATAAAAACTATATATTACAGAATCTGCATTTTTAAAATGTATGTATTGTAGTTGCCTTATAGCCTGGATATGTATTTATTGACTTCATAGAAACTGAGGAATAGATGCTTACCTCTTACCACGAAATTAAACATTCAGAGTTCTAGAAAATTTGTTTTTTGTTGATTACTCATTGACCCCAAACTACACCCTATACCCTTTATTCAACCTCATATCATATTAGAGTTTATATAACCGGTAGTGTTTTTCGTGTTATAGTAACTAAAAGACAGAATACCAATACTTTGTTAGCAAGGTCCGGACAGTACCAGACCTAAGACCTAAACTGAATTCAAAATAACATACAAAAGTATATATAAAAACAGTTTCTATAGAAAAGGATTAGTGTCCAACGGATCAACTTTTTATCGTCAAAGTGGTTTCCATTACGACAAACCTATATCAATAATAGAATTAATTAAACACGAAGAAATGTAAACGGTTAGTTGAACGGATTTCAACGTAACAAATTGTCACTGTAGCACTTAAATGAATTGTCTGGATTGGCTATATTTCTTATCCAAATCTTCCTGATTATATTATTCATAATACTCATGAATGAAATGATCATAAAACTTACCACTTTGGTTTTCGTCTATGAATGGTGGGTCGGCATGTTTTGTTATTTCCAATATGCTTCCATTGTTATAAAAACCTAAATGTATAATATATAAAACATATTTAATACCAGAGGACAGATGTGATACAGCTCGTTGCAGTCCTAACCTGTACAGCAAATTAACTTGCTAGCCATACATTTTGACTGGCCAAGTTAACCTGCGATAGGATTTAGGACTGCTCTGACCAGTCATAGGACCACAATCAAGCTAACTTGGCAAGCGGACTTGGTCCTAGGACTGTTTTTATGACTGCCGAAAAAATCAACTTTGATACAGGTCCGCTTCTATTATAAAAGCATTATATATCAGTAATTTTGTTTATGTCAGGATGGATTTAATCCATTGGATTGTATGATATAAATAACAGCAGTATTAGAACACAATGACTACAAAATTTTGTCAGCATCAAATTAGAGTGCCAGTATGTCCTCTTGTTATTCAAAATAATGACACGTACCAATTGCAATAACTCTGTATGTCGGGACGTGTCACGTGTTCCACCAAAAACGTTTAAATCATGAGCTTCTCCGCTGAGAAGAAGAAATTTGGAAATACACGTAGGAACCAGTCGTGTTTATTACGGCCTTACTTGTTGTAGAAGATTAACACTGTAAGCACAATAAAATTAGTCTAAAGTGTCGGTTTTCTTACAAAACAGGATTTATCTCAGGAATGAAACATTATATCAACTTGATATAACAAAAACATTGGTAATAACTAATTTTATTATGAAATTGTACACATAAAATCACGTGAAACATACTTGAAGAGAAGTCAAAATTAGAATTTAGATCAATATATTTTATTTGTCATACACAACGTTTGCGGCATACTTCCGAACATCGGTTGGCCCTTCTGCAGACTAAGTTCATCTTTCAGCCGCTTTGCTCCCCACGAGTTGATGCCCGACTTGGTTTTACATATTTTTGTAACCTCCGCCTACACTGCTCAAAACTGTTCGGGACTTGAATCGTTCGTTACTATCTTTTTTCCTTCCCTTTCCTTTTTTAGCATGAAACCTTCATTTACAAAATCTTATCCCCCTGCCTACAAATCCACGATGTATTTAAAGTAATGTTGTATTTGAAAACATCACAATATTCAAGCGTCATGTTAAACCGTCGCACTTCAAAGAAAGGACCATCGGACTTCGGCGTGGACCATCGCAGTTCAGAGTGACCATCGCACTTCAGTGTCCCCATCGCACCTCCGGTCCCGCATATATTTTTTCCGAAATTCATTTACTGTTCCGCATGCTATAAGACTGAGTGCTTTCAAATTTAAAAAAAATCAATAAGAGATTGCCAATATACGTACATGTTAGCTTAAGATTCGGGCAAACAAATTGAAATATCTAGTCTTATTTCTCTTAAGTATAATCATTAGGAAACGATAACTTTGGTCACTTGACTTTTAAGATATTTTCGATGAGTTTTTGTTTCACTGACAAGTTAAAATTCTTAAAGATGTCAATTGCTACTGGTAATGGAATATTAAAGAGTCTATATCGCGTAGATACAAAGCTTTTTTTTCCCAACAGCATTTGGTTTTCATCAACGCTTATCTTTTTTATAATTCTTTTAAGGGATAACTACTCAAGTTTTTCCGAAATCTGACAAAAGTTAGAAGCTATCAAAGACAGCCACTATTGTTGGTTGAATAATGTCGTTTAAGGCAACAATCAAAACAACACAAACAACACTCCTAACAGGTTGCATGAGGTTGTATCATAAAATTTAATTCAAATCAACATTTTTGTGAGAGGCCTGTGTTTCCCAATTATCCTATTTACATTTTTTTGTATCATACTAAAATTCATTAGAAAATCTTCTAGCAAACAGTACATATTGTGAAATGTTTTCACCATAGGAGGTGCATTGCTCTCTAGTTACTATTTTTTTTTTTTTATTTCTTATCATTTGCTAAAGAAATTATATTTCTGATCTGAAATTGATGTTGTCTATCAAAATTATTATTGTTCACTTAATTCTTTATTGCATGATTCTCATTAAACTTACGTTTTCCATCAAAATACAATGTGGCTTTTTTCATGAATCTAGATGATAATGCTGTGTCAAAAAATCTCATGTCACACGAAAAATGTGTGCCTGGAGATTTGTTATGTCTCTCAAATATGTGAACAAAAATAGTACCAGATAGATCACAGGTAAATTTATCTGGATGAATAACACCTATGCCGTTAACACATGTGTCTGTTTCTCGGTTAAATGTAATGCTGTCTACAGATTCATCGTCGACAAGAAATTCAACAGTGTTCCGATAAGGTTGTCGACATGAATAGCATGTTATCTGTATTTTATTCGTTGATGCAAGAACCTCTCCTCTGATAAAAATATCAGTTGCAGAAGCAATGCCTGAAAAACAAAAATAAATAATAAACACATAACCGAGAATTCGCTTCCACAAACTTGAAAAATACATGCATATATGTACATCTTCAAAAAATGGTAAAAAAAAAAATTCTCGCGATTTGTTTCTAATGTTGTTATCCCTCGGTCTAAAGCCCCGGTCACACATTACCGGATAGCGCGAACGGACGCCGAACGGATAACTTTTTTTCAATCCATTCATGTTCGTTAGACGACCGTTCTTGTCCGTTAGAAGTCCGTCCGTATCCGTTGCATGTCCGCTTAGTGTCCGTTTTATCCGTCGACGTCCGTTCTGTCCGGTGGAAAATTTTGAGCATGTTCAAAACTTTAAACGGACGTCCAACGGATGAACTGTCCGTTGAACGTCTGGTAGGCGTCTGTTTTTTACGGTACTCGTCCGTTTCGTTTCCGTTTTGTATCAGATCCTTCGCCGTTATACATCCGTTGGAGGTCCGGTAGACCAATTCACCAACGGACTTCTACCGGACGTATACCGGATAAAACGGATGATGAACGGATGTGTAACGGATGTGATACGGACATGAACGGAAGGATAACGGATAAAACGGACACATACCGAATTTTTAAATGGATAAATGTCAATTGAAAATTTCGCGTCAGATTTCTTGAGTGTCATGAATGTTTATTATTCGTGATGGATCTTTGAGTAAGAGCACGTCTTCAATTTCAAGCAGCTCTTATTCAGGCCAGTCTGAACTTAAATGTTGCAAATCTAAACCTACTAGCTATCGAAAGGAGAAGAAGGAGAAGACATTTCTTCCTCTTCTTTTTCAACCCTTACTCTTAGGCGGGAGTTTGAAAAATAAACTAAAAACAGTTACACGGAAACTTTTGAATTATTTTTAGGTCATGTGTATGTGATTTACATGTACTATATATTCATGTTGCTCCGCATCACGGTGTGGAGCTATTAGTTTCAGTCGACATACACGCCATCTTGAAATACTTACTTATTACATATTGATTCTGATTGGTTGCTTTATGATGCGAAAGAGATACAGCAACAGCTATTGGATTAAACCAGATAAAGAATTACAGACTTTTCACGTCTCAGGATAAGACATCAAATGCCAGAAAATTAACCATGTGTATTTCAGTTCCGATCAACTGTCATTAGTTCATCTTTGTTTTATTATGCATATATTGAACACTGAAATTCAATATCGAAATATCAAATATTAATATGTGTTTATTTGCTTTGTTAATCTGCAATATGCATGATTTGTTTGGCTAAACAATGTTTCTATACAATGTTTACAAAAATGCATTATCTGTATTTTAAAACTTGTCCCAATCTAGGCACACCTCCTGCGTGAGAGGCACGCCTTCAGTGTCGTGTCTATTTGTAAATGTTTTAATTTGCAACAAGTAAAGTTAATAATATTTTAAAAGCATGGGTGTATTACGCAAACTCTTTATAAGTAAATACATTGTATATCAATCCATATCTAAAAATACCAAATTTCCAATACTAAATCAACAACCACTTGTACTCATATTACCTTAAATTAGTATAGAGCGAAGCAGTCAACAGCTTTTTAGAAAGCTCAAACTTGTCTCCTTTAATTTTTCGCCTAACTTGTTCATCTGTTTTATCCGGTACGACTCCGTAAGGTGTCCGTTTTATGCGGTACTCGTCCGTTGGATGTAAGTTCGACATCCCTTCTGTCCGGTACGTTTCCGTTTCTCGTACGTTGCATATCTGTGTGTGTCCGTTTTGCATTCGTTACGCGTCCGTTCGTCCTATCCGGGAAGGTGTGACCACAGCTTTACATACATGTAGATTCCTTACTATCTTTTATGCGTTTTTACTATATACATTATGAGTTCCTGTTTCTCTTTCCGCTGCTGGAGGACTATACATTTCCGAGAATTCCATAAGCTAATTAGTCATTGCTTCGCGACTGACTTGATTAACAGCATCATTTTCTTAAATTTTCCATAAATATATATAAATTCTAAAGCATAAAATTGACGGTACCAATTATTCTGCACCAGATGCGCATTTCTACAATAAATGTCTCTTCAGTGATGCTCGAGGCCAAATTATTTGAAAATTCAAAGCTTGCAAAAAAAAAAAATGGAGAGCTTATAAATCAAAAAGGACAAAAAAGTATAGCAAAAACCGGGCTTTCGAAAGTAGGGTTCCAACTCCTCATGGAAAAGTTAATCTTAAATGATTTTTAGCTATTCTATTCAATTACATTTTTGATATGTTTGGCTTACAAAATTATAATTAGAATTTTTTTTAGTTGTACAACTGACGACAACTAAACAAAAATTCTAAAGTTATTTCCACCTTCATTCGACAGTAAAAGATGGCCTTCAGAAATATTCTAATGAGGTATTTTCAACCAGCATTTGTAAATCAGATGTGGATTCTTAAAAGACATAAAGATCTACAAATTCCTTGTTTTAGGTCATGAAAAAACTTTCTTTGTGTGCTGATTCCTACAATAAATACACAAAAGATGCTCTCATCCAAAATGCTGGTTTTTTTTTTTTTATCGAGAAAATATTTGATGAATTTGTTGGAACACAATGTCAGCAGACAGTCTGTATTTCAATGGGTACTTATTGTGAGCCACTTCTGGTCGATTTGTTTTTGTACGCATATGAAGCCGAATTCCTACAAAACTTTCGCGAAGACAGAAAAATAAGGCATTCACTTTCAGATATATTGATAATTTCCTGTCATTCAATTACCCACATTTCAATGAGCGCTTATATCTCATATGTCCCTGTGAACTTCAAAATTAAAAATAGTTACCAAAAGTAGAAGGTATGCTACATATATATTTCGATCTTTTCCTCGATATAGATGCAAACTAGAATATATGACAAACGTTATGATTTCAGTTTTCAAATTGTCAACTTCCCATTTCTCAGTAGTGACATACCCTCGGCTCCAAGGTATGGAGTTTACATATCACAGTTTGTCCTGCAATCAGCCAACTATTGTTTAATAAGAGGTACACAAATAAATGTTTGCTTTATTTGAACTTGTACTTGTACAAAATCAATTTTCCTGTTACCCCGCCTACATATTGAACAAGCAGTAATGTGGATATTTCTTTTTGCGTAACAGTTCATTTTGGGTTCCTCTTCGCGGTCCGCGTTTAAACTATGTCGATTTCTTGGAGAGAAAAAAACTAAAGCCTCATGTGCCGGTTGTAAAATGCAGGATAAAAACAATATATGTACATTGTCGGAAATATAAAATGTATTTGTACTCGCTACGAATCTAAGATCGTACAATTAGATTTTGTATTTTCCAACAATGTACAAATATGTACCGATTTTCAGGTTGTCTGCATATTGATATTGTATAATATCAGCTGCAAGTCACAATATGAAGCTTTTTGTCGAGTGAGCGCAGCGAACGAGTTCAAAAAGGCTTTCTATTGTTTCGAGCAGCTGATATTTTACAATATAAATATGATGAAAATTTGATAATCGATCCGGGTCAAAGTTATTTAGGCCGGGTTAACTTATCACAAAGCCGTGATATGCAATTTTACGAAGAGCTGCTGAGCAGACTTAGATCTTAGCTACCAGTACAGTTGTCTGATTTGTAAAAGTACCGATTGTGTCCTGTATCCGATTGTGACATTTTGATATGAGTGTGAGTATTCATGGCTGATGATGCATGCATAGTAGGAGACGCTTACACTGCCAATGACCCCGGTCTCACTCCTTTTGAGTTTATGCAATTCCCTCGGTTTTTGTTTTTAACCTTGATGTGCCTCTTCCTAATCAATTTATGCGATTTGAACATCGGTAAACTAATGTCGCCTTAATTTGGTACATGTTTTTTCCGAAGAAAAAAGTAAAATCACAAAAATACTGAACTCCGAGGAAAATTCAAAACGGAAAGTCCCTAATCAAATGGCAAAATCAAAAGCTCAAACACATCAAACGAATGGATAACAACTGTCATATTCCAGACTTGGTACAGGCATTTTCTTATGTACAAAATGGTAGATTAAACCTGATTTTATAGCTCGCTAAACCTCTCACTTGTATGACAGTCGCATAAAATTCATTTATATTGACAACGATGTGTGAACAAAACAAACAGAAATAATAGGTGAAAATGTCAAAAATAGAAAATGATCAGTTGAACCTGGTTTCATAGCTAGCTAACAATTTTGGCAGTTGTATACAGTTCCGTCATATATGTTTACAAACGCAGTGCAAGATATCATATGTTTAGCAAATACTGACGTTTAGACACATGTTCATTGTTAAAATCCACATGTTTACTTCCAATCTCTGTTGATTCCTTGTTTTTTTAAGTTACCCAACATGGCCTTTTCATCATACATGAAAATGCTGATACGAAAATATGTATATAAATATGTGTGCATTTAGTGAATCAAGTTATCATTTAGATACGTTGTATAGTTTTCATTCGCAACCACAAATAAGCACACATTGCGAATCTATAATACTAAAAGAACGCAGGATTTTCAGGAAAAAGGGTGACCAAAACCGAAAAGACCTTATAGCTAAAATTGTCCAGGTTGTTCTCGTTTTACCATATTTACTCTTACAAGTCTAAACCTTTTGCGTTTATTTTCAAATTCATTTTGTATGCTTCTTTGAAAATACAATTTTCCCAACTTTACATCCAGTCTATGATAGAAATATGCAAAAGGCTTATTAGTGACATAACATGTCAACTAAATGAAATGACAATTTGCCCATATGATATAAAAGTCAATCGAAAATAATTGATCTCATGCTATATTAAGATTTTGCAGCACCATAAACTAGAAAAGGTATAATTGAAAAAAAAAGTTTACCAAAATGTTACATTTCTGTTGCTCTGAATATGCTAAGTATGGTAATGTTCAGCTGTCATTTGAATTGATTTTTAAAACTAGCATAATTTGTCCTTCGAAACTTGACAAAATATAATAGTCAGAGTATCCCTATAGTTTGGAGTTTACAGGTCTAAA